CCCTCGTTCTCTCGTCTGTGTATGTGTGTCGTTGTATCCCTCTTATTCTGTAGCGCATTACCTCAATACTGCGCGAGGTGGACGTCTTCATCATTTATGTAAACCTCTTCTCGATAACAGAGACAGCGTTGCACAGCGAGACACCTGTCACAAAAGCAAAAACTATAAATGTTCTCTATGCAATCTCGTAACTTTTTTAGTTGAATTTCTGGCATATTACATGTTTTTTTCTTTACGTTAATTTTGATTTTGATCAATAAATTTTAGTGAAATATAAATATTAATAATGATAAAAAATTTTGTTATTGTAACGTAATTAATATTTAGATGTGTGTATGTAGAATATGACAAAGAATAGTTAAAAATATAAATTATATATATATATATTTGCCATTAATATAAAAAAAATAATAGGAGAATAGGAATATCTTTTTGCTTTTATGTTATAGAATTATAAATACAACTGATAACGATCTATTTTGTAAAATATAATAAAAAATATGGTTATATACTCTCATATCACATATGCATAAAAGTAAAAGGTATTTGCGGTCGAACGACGGTCGTTCAGATACGGGATGACAATGCTATGAGACCAAAATGCACGTTAGAGACACCTAACTGCCGTCTCTTATTGAAACATCATATCTGCTTACTTGTATGGAAACGACCACTAACATTTGTCTATAAAGAGAATGATCCTGGCATAGAAACTATGTTCTCTCTCGTTTTCAACACATCGAAATACAATTTTATCTTTTAATTTATTCTCTCAATGGCCCATCTACATGGAGCGATTATATTATCAAATTTCGGATTCATTCATAGCGATAGTTGGCGATTTTTCTTTCTGGCTTCACTGATTTCTTTTCTCTTCCAATTTAAAAATTATAATCAAATAATATTAATATATTGAATAAAATGTAAAATGTGGATTTTATTTTATAAGATGTAATTTTTTGGAATTATTACGTATTGTTACATATTATTCAAGCAAAGATCACAATGACTGTTTTTATCAATCTTTAATAATTATGGAGTTAACAAAATACTACTACAATTATATACAATTGGTAAACGTTAATCGGCGAATCTGTATAACTACGAAAATCGAGCCACTTACTACAATTGCAAACAGATGTGGTCATCTCATCTCGCGACTAAACTATTCCCTCTCCTTTTGGAGTACATTCATCCTTCTCTGTCATTTTCGCGGGTATCTCTCAAACTTGTTTAACAGAGAGATACTGCATCCACTTTGAGGGGCAACAGAGCCATCGGCGAGGGTGCTACCGGTATCCGCAGGGAGCGTCAGATTTTAGACCGCAGCAGAACGGACAAGTGCATGCTCTCTCCATTATAAACGTGCCTCCCGGCTTTACTTTCGAGTGCAACGAGCCATGAAGACCGCGTCATATGTGCATTTACTATTACTGCTTTTGATCGGCACATCGATCTCTCTGGCACCTTACTTTTTCTCATAACAATATATAGCACTTGCGTCTTTTATTGTACATACTTTACTCTGCTGTTTCTTTTTATTTTTTAATCAGTATTCTTGTCTCGTATTCATCGTCTGTTAACTATTATTTATATACTTCCAAAAGAATTTATATTACGTTACAGTAATTAATATGCCTGTATCTTTGCAAATTATAAATTATCTATATATCGGAAATTGTTAATTCACATAATTAGCTTATTGCTCTCGCGGGAGCTTTATTAGTAATACGAAAATGTTTAATGTCTGTTATTAATAACGATATGTAATGGAATTAAGTCAAGTGTATTAATGATATCACTTTTTTCGTAGAGATGAAGAACATGGCATTTATTTTGTTTGTTTATCTCAGCTTCTCGCTGAGATTATTCACTCGAAGCTGTGAAGAATCGAGATGTAATCACGACTGGGTTTAAATCAAGCTTAAAGCGCCGTAAAGCAGATAATCCTGGTAAAAAAATTCCGGGCGAAAGTCCGGTTAAGTTTTTATTTAGTGCTTGTTTCCGGATAATCTTTCGTGATTCTTATAAAAAAAAAAAAAATACAATCAAACGAGAAAAAGAATAGTAATGCAAGATCTATGCAACAAAGATAGGATTTTGTGAAACTTATTACTGCTTTCTCACAACAAGGAGAATATGGAAATGAATACAAATGACGCTTGGGTCACCTGCACCGTAATTGGATGATCCTCTTCTCTGAGGATTATCTGCCGTTGAACGGTCTGAGATTCCAGCCGCACCCGCACCCGCACCCGCCCATCGTTGACTTTTCTACGGATAAAGAAGTTTCGGTCGAGAACAAGCTGTCAGCCATGCTGGATAAAAGAAAAGGGTTTCTTTCTTTTAAAGGATTGAGATACATCATAAATCTTGTATACTGCACTTTTTCGACCATTTAAACAGCCAAATGGCGGATAATATTCATACGTGATGTTCATTATAATTTCTTAAACAAGTCTATTTTCGATTCTCATAATTCATGCCTTAAACCAGCTTAGCCCTTCTAACAAAAGGAAAATCACACGCCCATAACAAATCGTCAATGGAACACCTTCCGTTTGGCTTTTTCATATTTATTTCATTTTGTCGGCTGCATTGAAGTTGACCGGATAAAGACTTCATTCAGAAAATTCCTTTGTCTGTGTTTGTTGCTAAAAAAAAATTGTAGGATTATAAAATTGTATTTTCTATTCATTTGATTGTAATATAGTCCGTTTTTTGCTGTAATATTTTAAATCTGTAATTTATTCACAGAATAATTATATATTAAAAATGCATATAAATGGCAGCCTCAACAGATGACAATATTTTTTGTAGAGTAGTCTCTCGAGTTCTGATAAATTTTCAGGTTTGCTTGGTTTGGATGATTGGGGGAGAAGCATATAAATAAATCTTATCGTGAACTCGACTTTTAGCATACTTTGCCAATTAAAATACTCGGCGACGTTTTACGAGCTGGCATAAGCCAGTCTTCCACTTCGTTTATGTTCCCAATGGTGTCCTTGTTTCGTGCTACGTGAGGAGAATTTACCTCGTTGTTTAAATGCAAATCTGACATTGGTAGAGAAATCTACCTTTTGAGCCGTTGATGCCCAACGGTGATAGTCAGACGCTTTTATCATTGTCGATTTCGATAAAGAATTATTAAATACTGAAATGTAAATATAATGTTTATCATTCTAAAATAATATTGAAATAATAGATTATTATTATATACTTATAATTACTATAATAGAAAAGATGAACATTGAAGTAGAAAGACTTAAAAGAAAAGATACATTTATTTTAACAGATATGTTTATTAAATTTTGTTGTTTTAATAAATTTAGTATCTGAAAATAGGCAGAAATCCTCAAGAGATGCCGTAATATATAATTAAAAATGAATTGCTTGACATAGGAAATAATATCATCGCAGATAACTATATCCATCGAGAGAGAAATTGCGCTTTTACTGGCCAGCAAAATACATCACTCTTCTTTTTATTAAAATTTTATTATTATAAATGTCACAATTTTAGAAATTACCAATCTTTCGAATTATTTTGTCTGTAAATAATCCTTTTTATCGCAATCTTATCTTGCACATCTTGTTTTAAATATATAAAAGATTCTATCACACACACATGCATATATATTTTTATCGAAAAAACATTGTGTCTGCTTTTTCATAAAAAGAGAGTGGTTTAAAAAAGATATATTTTATAAACTTGCTCAAACGACGCAGGCACGCGGATCAAACTTAAAACATTGCCGGGAGGCATTCGGCATATCGTCATCGGTATTAAGAAGGACACAGAGAGAAGTAAAGAGAGAAGACCGTCTTCAAAAGTCGGATCCAAGCCATGGTGGTGGTGATGCGACCTATCTGTAGGAGGGTGGAGAGGCGCTTCCAGAGCGTGGTTTAGGGTAGATAGGGGCGAAAGTCACTGCACAGCCCCTATGGGGGCCACTAGCCAGCTTCGTGCCTTCGTCGCGACTTCAGGAACTCCTGTTGCCGAGTCTGCTGAAAGCTGTACATCCGAAGAACTGGCGGGGCAGAAAAGTGGACAATGTTCTGTGAAAAGATAGAACGCTGTGACTATCCAACGTAAATCCTAACATTTCATGGAATATCTCGAAGAATTTGCACACAATCAATGTATAACTTAAGTATATATATTATCTTTTGAGATAATAATTTGTGTAACAATTTTTATCTAGAAATAGAAAAAAAATATATGATAATATATTAAACATAAAAAAAATATTATATCATAAAAAAATTTTTTTACAATAATCGTACTGTAATATTAAGCAAAGTTATGCATTTATAAGATGTCTAAACTTTCTTCTCTCTCTCTCTCTCTCTCTTCTCCTTCTCTGTCTCTTTGTTTATAAATGCATCTGTTATGAATGTTGTCCTATCTTCCTCTTTGTGCGGTTGTTGGTATCGCGCGAGTGCCATGGGTGTTAAACTTTATTAATATCCTTATCAAAAACAGCGACGTGGATAACTGCGCTAGTTGCAGCTCACAGGATTCGGAAGTTCTGTTCCTGTGTGTTCGAGG